TCACATACCTTCCGAAAGGTAACCGTCGCGGAAATAATATTGACAACGGACTGAGAAGGCCCATGCGGCAGTGGCTTGTCAGCAAATGCTCCGCGGAGAATGCCGAAGGCTCGCTTGTGGCTGACGTCCCACGGTGCGTCAGCCTGCATGGCGTGCCATAGCGGCCACAGACGATGCCATTCGACAGGCAGGCTCCATATGCTGGGCGCTCCGACGAGCTGCGTCCACAGCGGCGAGAGGCAAAAGTGACCTTGCCCGTCTGCACTGTCAGCCTGCGAGGCGGTCACAAGGCGGTACCACCTGAGTTGGATTGGGCTTGGGCGCGGGGTGATCTCAGCATCTCCTGCAGGAGCGAAGCTGGCTGCCTCGCCATCGAGTCCCTCACCGCCCTGCACAGGAGGAGATGGGACACCAGGAGCCTGAACCTCGTCATCGCACGCAGTGCTGGTGCGAGTAGGCCACTCATGGGCTGAGGAAACTCCAAGCAAGGAGCGGAGCTCCTCAGCAAGCTCGTCGGTTGTGCAAAGGCGGCCTTCGGCAGCTGCCTTGCGCTGTGCCGGGGTAGCGTTGAGGGGGCCTGGCAGTCGCAGGGCAGGGAGTCCGCGATGCTGTCTCTGCCCGGTCCGCTTCGTGCCGGTCCCGTAGGCATAGACTTCGCCGACCGAGACGCGCAACCCATGGAGGCACGCGGAGGTTGTCCGTAGGTGATATTTCAGCCTATCGGTCGAATGCATTTCTGTGTGACACCAAAGGCACACAGTGCCATGCGTCAGTTTGGTATAACAACTGACAACGGAGTGCTTCCGATGAATATGCGCAGCAACAGCGTGACGGCTTGGAAAGACCTCTTGGCAGATATGACAACGACATGCCTGCACGGCCCCGATGATGCGGCGCTCCCTAGGCGTGCTGATGTCGCGCCACAGCGCACAACACGCAGCCTGCACTGTGCCCCACCGGCTGAGGAACTTGATGGCCTTAGACAGGGGCTGACGAACCTGCCGCAACGCTTGCAGTGTGCAATGCGGCACACGCTCTCCAGAGGGAAATCGCACTGCTGGCAGAAATTGACGGCAGGAGTCCACCAGCAATTGACACCAGGGCGTATCTCGGTTCCACGCAGCCTCGAACAGGTCCCAGACCGCAGGCGGGGACTTGTCAAGTAACATCAGGACAAGCCGAGCACGCGCTACAACGCAGGCGTGCTCGGGGGCACAGAGTCCGAGCAGGACTAACATAGTTGGTCTGGTAACAAAATGCCCATACTGCCAGGACTGCAGAAGGGTCCGAGCGGCACTCTCAAAGAAGCCTTGGAGCGGTGCCGAAGCTCGCTGAGAAACAGCTATGTTGGTTGCCAGTGTGGCATACGCCGCTGGGAGCACACGGCCGGCGAACCAGGCCTGTTTTAGCGCCCATGGGAGAGTCGGGCTCGCGATAAGCGAACGTGCGTGTGCCCAAGCAGTCTGAGCTCTCCGGGCGCAGAGCTCTGTGTCACGACGCCCTGTGTCTTTTGGTGTCTGTACGACGCCAAGATAGCGATATTCAGGGGTTAGGCGGAGCTTATCGCCCGTGCATAAGTGGAGTCGCGGGTCTAAACCCAACATCTGCCCACGGACTTCCTTAGCTCGGGCCCCGCGAATGTGCAACATGGCCTCAGTTTTACCCGGACCTAGGTTAACCCGAAACCGCAAGAACCGAAGGGTCGAGAGGGCGACAACCGCAACCCTTGGGAAGTTCTCCTGAAGGTCAGTGGGTGAGGCGTAGTCGGAGAGGATGGCTAGATCATCGGCCCATCCAAGAGGCAGGACTTCATCGCACTTGCCGATTAGGGCTCCTGCGCTGTAGTGTGCCCAGCCCTCAGACTGGCAGACATGGCGGATGTGGCGGAGAGCAATTGCAAATAAGGCCCCAAATAAAACATCGGCGAGCCCGTCCCCTGGACGAGAACCTCGCGAGGCAAGATACACAGACCGGGAGCCGTTGAGAGACCAGTGGGAAGCGGCTACGCAATCTTGTAGCAAGGCGATCTCCTCGGGAGGGACCCCTAGTAGCTGCAGAGCACCATCACTGACAAGACCTGAAACAAGGCGAGACAAATGGCAGAGATGCTCGCCAGGTGGCTGGCTGATGTCAGGATCCCCTTGGAAAAGAAGCACGCGACTAGCCTCGTAGTAAGCAGCCTGGATGTCAACAAATAGCACGGCCTCGCATCGCCCCTGGGCTGTGCAGAGGTCAGATGCAGCACGGAACGCAGCAACCGCAAAACTCACGGGAATCCCGGCCCGACCCCCAAGCTGGAGCGGGTCATAACGGTGCAGAATGGAAGACCCAATACTTTTGCGAAGGTGCCCGTGCCACACTTTGGCAATACCATTTAAGAGGGCGATTGATCGGTAGTTCTCAGGCAGTGCGGCGGGGCCTTTTTTATACAACGCACACACAATGGCACATTTGAAGTGGAATGGCTCACGGCAGGTAAGTGCAATGTGTACGCAGACAGGCCATAACCATTGTCCCGTGTGAACTGGAAACAACTTCCATATCTCGTTGGGTATGGCATCAGGTCCGGGGGCTTTGCCACCCTTCTGTGCACGAGCGGCGGCCTCAACCTGCAGCAAGGTGGGGACGGCGGCAGGGCATGGGGACGCGGATTTCTGCCACCAATCACGAACGACAGATTGCAGCTGCTCAGGCGTGACTCTTTGAGCTCCTTCCTGGGCTCGAAATTGCTCTTCTAATGCGTCGTCAATTTCATACCCTCCCGCGGCATGGACTGCGCGGCGCTCAGCGCTCCTGCGCGACGCCCATTTAAGGTGTATGATGGCATCAAGTGGCCGGCCCTGATCATGCCAGACAGCGGTAGCTTTGTCAGTGAGCTGCTCAAAATGACGAAGCTTGTCCTGCCGGGCTAAACCGTGCGCATGATCTGCTGCATGCTGAACCTGTCGCTCCAGAGCCGCGATCTGGAGGCGGAGACAGTGGGCATGCAGGCGGGGCACGGGGGGGTCAGGCCGCCGAGCCCATCGACGGAACCACTGTTGGCACTCCAGAGTATCACGTTGTTTCCGGACGTGCCTCAACTGGGCGTGCCAGTCCCGCAACAGCATAAGGACGCCCCGGGTCCGATCACTGATGTAGGGCTGTTTAGGGACAAGAGGCGGTCGGCTAGGGAGAGTGCTCTTCCAGGAGGCGTAGGCGGAGAGAAAAGTCTGGACCTGCGCACTGGCGCTGAGGCTAGCTCTGTGTAGAGTACGGCATACGGTGCCCCAGAGGGAAGAGCCATGCTGAGCGACCTCTTGACCAGTGCAACGGCGAGTAGCCTGGACAATAGGCCGTTTGCCAGGCAGACAAAGAGTCGTGCGGACCCTTAGGGCGACATGATCGCGGTTCGCTGTGGCAAGATCAAAGTCAGCGGCCTGACTGGCAAGGGAGTGAGTCCAGGGCCCTGGCCTAAACAAGACGTGATCAAGCCGTTTGTGACGTCCGCTGGAATGCTCCCAGCTCCATCTGTGTCCAGACTGGTATGCAACAAATGTCGCCGGGGCTTCAAGCCCAAGTTGCAGGCAGAACTCTAGGAGCATACCGTCGTTCCTAGTCGGGTCATGTTCGGCTAAATATTCGCCGATGAGGCAGGAGGCCTCATCAGAGGATGTAAAGTCGCCGTTGGCGTCGATACCGAGGACGAGGCCCCGGTTTGAGGGTGCTCGGAGCAAGGACTCGCGGAGCTCATGCCAAAAGGTCTCAGCGTCGGCGTCAGGCCTCTCTTGCAGTTTAAGGGGAGGGTCGAGGATATTGGGTCGAACCCAAACCTCACAACCGTATTGTCCTTGGCAGGCACCGGATCTCCATGTCAAGACCCCTGCGGTATCCCATCGACCCTGTCGGCTCCGGGTCTCCTGCAGGCATATCACATCGATGTGGAGGCGCTGCATTTGGTCATACATGAATTGCCTGCGCGAGGCATGGCCGGAGGGATTGAAAGGGTTGGCGGGGGCATCTTTAAGCGACTGAACGTTCGCAGTGACAATGTGCATCGGGGTGGACAGAGGACGGACACCGGGAGCCTCGGGGGCATCGTGTGGGTCTGTCTCCTCAGAAGAGGGAAGAACAAGCGTTTTATCAACATGCACAATGTAGTGTGGCACGGAATTAAACATCTGGGCATATGGGATAGCCCACAGCCAAGGCCCCTCTCGTCTAACTAGATCGTGCAAGGCAGCAACGGGCTGGAACATGCTCGGCACCCCTCTGGTTCCATGAGCCGCGTGATCGGCCAAAGCGTCCGCAATAGTATTAACGAGAAAACCAGTATGGCGCTGGGGACATGCCGGAAGGTGGTATGACATCGGGATTGGACAGCTTGCCAGCAGCCCCGACACCAGAGAGTGTCGGCCGTCCCTGCCGAGGCGTAACCTGTCGCAACCTGCAGCGCAGAGGTGTTATCGACAGCGACGGTTATCTTGACGGGGCCAGCACGCATATGAAAGCCCCAATCATCACAAGCAGAAAGAGCCCACAGGGCAGCTGATTGCAAGGCTACAATCTCGGCTTGGAAAGAGTGACTGGTGCCTGGCGAACAACCACCTTGATACCACGCGACGCTAGGGAGATCCGAAGCGTGCCAACCGACTCGATGCCACTTGGACCTGTAGAGGGCCCAGACGGCAAAAGCACTAGAGCCACTTGAGATGCCACTTCCGTCCGTGGCGATAAGCAGCTCGTCAGGGACTCCGCCGGACCAAGATAGGGAAGCTATCCCAAGCGACATGGTAAGTGGCGGGGAAGCGTCGGGGAAGATAGGTGCGTAAAGGATTCATGCGCCAGAAGTGATGCAGCCACGCTTGCAGACGACATGCATCTTCCAAAGAAAGGCCCCAGGTATCCGGTGCCAGTCGGGACCAGACTCCAGGCGAGCCCCAGGCAGCGAGGTAACAACCCAGAAGGAGCCACGACACAGCAGCTATCGGGGGCCAAGGGCGCGTGGCACTCAAGACGGGCGCGACCCCGACCAGAAATGAGAATCCAAGGCCCAGCCGGCTAGCAGCGGAAAGCGCGGAGCCATCGTCCTCCGCGTGCCACGACTCAAACACGACCCGGGGCGGGTAAGGCAGGGCGGCTGTCGGGCCGGGGGCCTCACGCGGCTCCACGCTGTGTGCGGGGCTAAAGTGAAGGTGAGGCTCAAGGCCACTTTCCCGGGTCAGGTGCGGCCACAAACCGTCAGATACATGAGCTAGGCCAGGTCGCAGCGTGCAAGCAACTGGGTCCCAGTGCTGGGTACCGCTCAGGGCGACTGACGCCGGCCCCGTTCGGCCCGCCTGCCAAAGGAACGCCCAACCGCGGCCTTGAAAGCTCAGCGGCTGGCTCCACAGACCTTGGTCTCGCGCAGCTCGAACGGAGTGAAAATGTCGGGGCCAAGGGGCAAGGAGATTCGGCACCCAGGCCTCCATGATAGCTACGAGCACGTCGCCATCTCTAAGCATGACTAACCTGTCAGGCGGTTCCTTAGGCCGCAATTCGAAGTGTCGACCAGCAGCCTCACGGACATTTCCGAAAAGATGTCGCATGATACGCAAAAGCAGACCTCGAGGCATGACATACGGCAACATATGCAATACAGGACGGGGCGGCCCCACGAGCAGGACAGAGGCCAGAGCAGGAGACAGAGACCGGGGTACCCAAATCGGGCCGTCCGTAGGTTGTGGGTACGCACCAACAAAGCCTTGTGCCCAAATAGGCTCTAGGGCGAACAGCTGTTCATCTATGTGGCGCTCTGGGGAGCCGTGCACAGGACCCAAGCGACCCTGATAAGGGCTCCACAACCATTGGTCCTCCTGCGCAGTGCCGCGGCAGGGCGGGGCTGCGAGAGACCCGAGGAACAGACCGGCAGCTAAGACCCCCAATATCCTGTTGCGCGTGGCGCTAAATGCGAGCCAGAAGGAAAGGCGAAAGATAGGCCCCGTAGCATGTGAATCGTCCGGCAGTGAGTAGTGCAAGATATCACCATCACGAAGGGCAGGAAAGTCATCTGCTGGCTCGGGCACTCCGATCAGTCGAAGATGCGCAGTGGGCAGATGCAGAGCCCCAGCAATGGAGACACAAGTGGAGGCCTGATGGACGGTGTGACAAGTAGCTCGGAGCTTAAAAGCGCCGTCGACCGGCTGCACAGATTCAACAAGCACGTTGCAGAGAGTAGGGTCTACTGCACGACTGCACAAATGTACCTGTGCGTTATATGCCCAGGGGACGGGGACCCAAGCCCCTGGGTATTTTTCAGCAAAACGCCCTCGAAACCTCTGCGCCTGTGCGTCCCAAGTAGCACCCGCCGGCATCTCGGTGGTCACAGGGGGACGATAAGGGCGCCATATCGTGAGCTCGACCGAGCACTCGACTCTGAAGTCACACATCCACAATGCACTGTGCCGCACATGATGTTTATCAGTAAACACAGGCACATGCAGGGACCGACCAGGGGCATGCCACTCGACAGCGAGTAAGACGTCCCCGTTACGCCAGTCGACAGCATCGCTATTGGTGCGATCAGGGGTGGAGGCACTTAACGGTCCGCGTAGGGCAACAACAGCCCCTGGCGTGTTGCGATGCACGTGGGCAAGTACCCAATCCAGGTCAGCCCGCCGTGGCAAAAGGACTGGCAGTTGCCAGTCGGAAGATACCACAACAACACAGACAAGCTCTCGGCATGGCGGAACTGGCACGAAGGTAATCGTGTGCATACCAAGCACCGGCCATACCGGGGCGATGCTGTGATACCAGACTGGCTCCCGACTGGAGAGTGCGACATAGACGTCGTCAGCAAGTGTGTCGGGCGTCAATTCCACTGACTCCCCTTCTGTAGTGTACGGAGAGAGAAGAACTCCGCGGGTGCCCGGCAGGACAGAAAGATGAAGCATTCGTTGGTCACAAGGAACTCGCCATGGATAGAGACCAACGGGGGGTGGCTCAACAGACTGTTGTTCAACAGGAGGGGCGAACATGGCAGCCCCAAGCTGCAGGCTCAAGCTGAGACCAACGACGCAAAAGAATCTTGCAGCTGGTGACGTGCACAGCGCACCGAGCAGCAGAGCTTTGCCAGCACTAGAGGTGGGAGGAACGGGGATTAACACATCTCCGTCCCGGAGACCGGCATCCTGTTCTTTGCGCACAATATCTGGCCTCAGTGTCCACCCCAGTGGAAGGATGCGACGGTCAAGATTGGTAATGAGGCGGCATTCAGTCTCATCAGTGCCAGACTCATCATGGAGTAGGATGCGAGCCTCACCCTCATCTGTTGCACGAACGAAGTGACAGCGCCCATCTCCCAGACAAGGGACTGGAACCCATGCGAAGTTGCGTGGCAGCTCGCATGGCCGCCGGAATTGACGACAGGTAGGTGTCCAGATGGAGCATGCGTCTATCCAGACACGTTGGCAGTGCAGGTCGGGCGGGCCGGCATCATTCCAAACGTACACCCATCCTCCCGCGACGAGCTGGAAATCGACATGCCACAGGTTCAACTGCGGAAGCATATTGGGATGGTCCACAGTAGGGCGGGGAACATTGCGGAAGGCATGGAAAGTGTCGGGGATATGCAACGAGAAGGTGTCTCCAGACCGAAGAGTGAGGGGCACCCATGGATGCGTCATATAGTGCCGAAGCGCAGGAGGTCCTCGCAAGGGCAAACCAGTAAGAGTGAACAGCCGTTGGCAGTACTGTTGGAGATCATGAAAACAGGCTCGCCGAGGAAACAGAATGGCCTTGGTGAGGCCGCCGGAAGTCACAACCAGAGTAACTAAAGGGCCATATTTAAAAGGAAGGAAGACGAGAGGTTCTCCATGGGCATCCGGCCCCAAAACAAGGAAGTCGTCGGCCCATGGCCCAGTGACGAATCGGACCGCAGACAAGAGAAAGTCATAGGTGGAGCTGGGGATAGCTGAGTTGACTGAGTGCCAACCGCGGAATGGGCAGAGAATCCTATAATCACAGTGTCGGCCGCTGAAAACCTCAGTCATAGGATGCGACAGCTCGGGCCGCCACCGACCCGCGCGAGGGCTAGAGGGATAGCCACGTCGCTGACTCGTGGAGTGCGAGCGACTTCTGGTCCGGCTAGGAGGCCCTCCGTCCCCTGCGCCGTGGGCGCTTTGCAGCATCCCCAGGACGGCAACGAGAAAACCCGGGCGTCCGCCAAGAAGGCCGAGACCGAACAAAACCGAAGCCCCAGAAACGGCGTCGGCGATATGGGGCCATTCACGGTGAGTATCCGCATAGTTCATGGCGTCCCAAAGGACGTCACCATCGCGAAGGGACATAACATTGTCGACGCTGGCCTGTGGGTAACCAAGAACGAACAGCTGCGAGGGCAGAGTATGCAGGATATCAGCAAGCTCCGACATGGCAATATTAGGGACAACCTGCAGCCCGGCGACGCCATCCGAACTATCGTGGAGAACCGAGACCCCCCGTGGCTCGGTTGGAACTTGCACGAGGTGAGGGGACTGACCAGGACACCACGGGACCGGCACCCAACAACCGGGATACCGATCGCGAAAGGAACCAGTGAAAGTAAGATCACAGGCATCCCAGCGCGACCCTGGTTCAAGCCAAGTGAACAAAGGGCCCTGGATGTGCGGCATCCAAAGCCGAACGGCGATATCTTCTCCGATATCAAAGTCACGGGTCCAGAGGACTTTGTCCTTAAGGAAGCGGCCATGCCGAACCGTCTCTCGCCTCGAAGGGCGCGAGGCCAGCACATCCAAGAGATCGCCGTCCCTGAGACTCATCGGCCTGTTCGGCGCGTGGATTCGCTTGGCATGCATGGCCGGGGGCAGGCGCACTTGGTTAACGTCTTGGCCCAGATGAAAACGCATAGCACAAATGAGATCACTATAATCGATTCGGCGTGGCAAGACAATCGACCTTAAATTGCCCTCGTAGTGTATCAGCACACAGACCAAGGAGGGCGAAGCAAGGTGGGGAACAAAAGTGAGCTGGTAGGGGTGCGGGCCAGGCCATACAGGCATAAGGGACGTATCAGCCAAGAGTGCGTCTGCAAACCTGAAATGGGCGGCCTCAACAGTAAGACCAGAACCTCCCTGGAAAACTCCTTGCGGCCCTGTCCAAGGGCAGGCCAAGGCACACCGGACAGGATTGCCGTCTGCAACGGTGGAGAGTAAAGCCCGAGAAGCAGGCTGGCGCGAAGGGTACAAACTAGGGCTCACCGTGCCGGACAGTGCGCTGGTGACGGTCCCAGAGTGCAGCATGGCCGAGGTGCCAACAAGTAGCAGGCCGGGCAGAATATTGAAACCTTGTGGCCTGGGACAAAACAGAACCAGAAGGAAAACAGAGAGGAGAGCAACCCCTCGCCGCTCCGCAACAGAGGGCACCGCTGGTGTCGGTGGAGGGGGCCCCCAGGGCCCAGTGTCGGCGTGAAGGCATTCCCCGTCCCTGAAATGCAAAGGCTGGTCGGCACTCCGCCGTGTGTGATACGGCAGCCGGAGCCGGCCCCGGCGGCCATCGAGACGTATGGAGTGATAGTCTGCGGCCGGCATATTCCTGGCAAGGCATCTGGGATGCAAATGGTCGCCATTACGAAACACGACGGAGACAAGAGAGCTCTCTGCAGCCGCTGGAATCAAATGAAGAGCGCGGTCATCAGGCTGCGGATGAACGCCGATCAACGGCTGCCAACCTCTGCGCACAGAGTAATCGTGCAGCAAATCACGAAAGATCTGAGGCGTGCCGACTATTCCCGTCAAAAGCTGCGCCTGGGAACGGCTAGTGAAGGGATTATGAATAACGATGGGGCAGCCGGCAGGAATAAATGGCACCGGCGGCCGTTCAACATCGACTTCGTTGAACATGGCTAAAACACGACGCTGGATGGCAGGAATTTCCGTGGCCTGGAAAACCGGCCCTGCTACATTGTCAGTGCCAATGCGAGGCGCCGATGTTCTGGCTAGGTCATCATCACTTGGGCGGACATAGGCCTCAACATTACTCAGACGGGAGACAACATTACGAGGAGTCGGAGCCGAAACATCAGTCAGATCTGGCTCGCTGGGCGGTTCAGGTTCGGGAGAGCCTTCCGGCGAGTCGTCCGATTCCTCAGACACGCCGTCCCCTGAGCAAAGTGGAAACATGACAAGGACGCTCGTTATGACAGCCCACCTGTTAGCATTGAAACTCCGAATGCCGCTAATAAGGAGAAGGCGCGTCGCCAGCAGCCGGGCGGCCGAGCTACGGTCCGGCTCGGCAGGTTCCGCCGGAGGCGCATCGTTGGTCGCTGGCTGCGAGGGCGATGCGGCACGAAAGACGCCCGCATCCTCAAGTCTGGTGTTCAAAGTCTGTAGTCCAGAAGCAACGGACTCAATCTGACGCGTCAGGCTGACAAGGTCGGGAGCGCGATCAGGCGGTGGATTGCGCTGGATCGGTTGGCTGCTAGTTGGGTTGCGTCGCATGGCCTCGCCGACGCCCCGAACAATAGGCACCTCCCCATGGTGACCCATGCATATATCGTAGTCAAAGGTGCGAATGGGCAATGGGTCTGGGGAAGAGTCCCATGCATTGCTGTTAGCGCTGGGAACCGGCAGCAACTTGACAAGATGGAGGATGGCACCGTGCGGCGGGGCCTGTAGGTGCTGTCCGAACACAAAAGTCCTAGCGCTATATTGAACCCCGAATTGGCCGCGGCCGAAGCATTCGGCACCAAAGGCGTCCTGTGCTTGTTGTCCCAGCCGGCCCCAATCCAGAGGCCCGGGGTGCACGCCGACTACGACAGCACGGGCACAGTAGTGGAGAAGCCAAAAGGTCGCGGGAGGAGCAGCACCTGGCGGGAAGTGCAAGATATGCGCTGTGCCCTGGACAAGTTGAGGTGAAGTCCAAATGAAGTCCCCACAGGCTGGCACCCCTCTGTGGGTGCCCGCAACGATTTGGGCCATACGATTAGGGTCGGGAGCAGGGTCATAGGGAACCGTCACAGGTGCAGCAAGGGTGTAGGTCCAGATGCGCATGCATGATGGCAACGACTGACTACTGCCCTGCCACCCCGCAGGCTGGTTGGTGACAGACAAGGCAAGTTCACTATGTTGTGGGGCCTGCATCGCCGAGACTCCAGTCATGAGCCAGAGAGCCAGGGCAAGTGGACGAAAGAGACCCGTCCCGGGGCCAAAGGCGGCGCCGGTAACAACTCCTATCGCGACTTCAGTAAGTACTAGACCATCCCAGGTGAGATGCCCAATGACACGGGTCAAGGGGTCAGCGATAACCCCTCTTGCGCCCTGTGGGAGTCGTTTGAGCCTGGCGACCTCAGGTGAATATACAACAGTACTGGCCTGCCCTAGATGGTTGAGAGTGACAATGCTATGTCTGCCTTCATCATACCAAGGGGCGACGGGCCGCAGAAGTTCGCGGGACAAACCATCGCGTACAATCCACCACGCCGAGTGTCCATAAGGTGCGGAAATAAGGTCGATCGAGGTGGCCTGGGTGTCAAAAGCGACATGCAGCAGGCGGGTGCCGGGATCATGTCCAAGCTCAACCAGTGTGTTCTCGAGAGCGGCCGCCGGGGCATCTCGAGCAATGTCGAAGGTTGCGGGGCCATGGAAGGGCTGCCACAGCTGCACTCTGACAGTTTTGAAGGGGGAGTGCAAGCGAAAGTATTCAGTGAGTCTGCCGGTGGAAGTCGCGAAGTGCGTGGATTGGCAGGCGAGCTCGTGACACCACCCAACATTGCAAGTTTGCGTGGAGTCGTAGCGGACCCCGGAAATTGGCGGCAACCCGTCGACGCTGGAATTGAGCGGCGCCGCAATCGCGGCCGCTCCGCATAGAGCCCAAACAATGGCGGCTGTCAGCCCTCCTCGGCTGAGCAAACCTGAGGCAGCAGCGCAGGCAGCTGAGGAACCTGACGGACCTCCAAAATTTATATCTAAGGGTTCAACCGGTTGTGGGTAACTAATCACGTGGCAGCCCTTGGACTGAGAGGTCCTCTGGAAGACATGGCCGCATTGCCCGGCCAGCGGGGTGAGGTCATCAGGCCACTCCCAAACCTCGTGTCCACTGTGTACGATAGTACCCGGGAGATCCCAAGCGCTGATATAAGCAACTTCTGTAACAATGTTCCAGTTGACCACGTCAGTGCACAGTCCGCGCACGCTGTCACCGAGGCGGAGAGCCCAAACATATTGCCTTGCAGTGCACGGGATGGTGCAATGGACACCCATCGTGGGGCAGTCAAGGTGAAACAAGGTGCCGGCTGTATAGAACCGTTCATCGACTTGACAATCAAGGGCTGGTCGGCGCGTAGGAAGCGAAGCAGAGTGCACCGGTGAAGCAAGGGCATGCCAGTGTGCAGGGAATGTTTGAGTCGCGGCTTCTGCTCGATCTGCCTCGTGCACGATGTCCCAATGGATGCCTAGGGCATGGCCATTTTGTGCAAGGTCCCACAGCCGTGGCCGCATGGCTGTCGTGACTCGCCAGCCAAACAGCCGTGCTCGAGCAAGGTCTATAACAAGCTGGATGTGTTCGATAGTGGTCCCTGCAGGATCGTGCGAGACCGGATAGGTGTCGTGTCCGACGCATTCAGGTTGACGAGTCGAGAGATCACTCCAAAACGCACCATAGCGAGGGCACTGGCACATGTCAGAGAACGAGGGAACACAACCTGCCTCAACGTCAAGGGTGTGCATGAGGAAAGGCTCGGGGTTACTAGTATCCCTCAGGGTGACCACGAGAGTATTGTGGCCCCGGCGCGGCAAGCAGAACGCCGGTCTGGAATAGGCATGCCTACCTAAGGGCTGAAGCAGTACTCCGTGGCACCGTTGCCTTCCTAACCATGAACACATGGCCGAGCTGCACTCTTGAACCGTGGTACCTGGTGGAACGCGCAGGCTGAGCAAATCGAAGTCTGCCGCTGAGACTATTATGTCCGTCTGTGAAGGGCCAAGCATGACATCAGCAACGGAGTGCCGGCAGGCGCTGTGGGGCCAGGCGATGGAGCCTACCTCAAAGGCAATGGGAACGTCCTCGAAACCAAAGACAACATCTCCGTGTCGGAGCGACAACCGCGAGGCAACATCCAAGCGGAAGGTGCGCCGGGGGTATCGCTCGGCCAACGCGGCAAGCACGGCTGTGCCTGCATTAACTTTAGGCACATCCAGACAAAAGACGGCAGTCCCCAGATCGACCAGGATGGTGCGGGTCTGAGGGTCCTGAGCCGGAGCGACAAATTGCACGCTATGCCTATTGGCCTGGGGTTGGACCAACACGGGCTCACATCGACCTGGAACCAGGGCAAGCTGAGAGAGGAGACCACGGAGGCCTGCAAAAGTGGCAGTGTGCTGCAAGGAACTGGTCCACCATGCTTCTGGGACAAATGCCTCCAAGCAGAACTCGGGCGAGATGTCATCATGCCAGCCGCCTCCGACTCGCTGCCAAACAACTTCATCCGGCTCACCGAGGTTCCAGAAAGCGGCCAGCCTAGAGTGGTCAACAACAGAGGCGGTATCCTTACTGAAGGTATAGGGCTCAGCGGTCACGGGTCGCCAGCCCTTCGGGTGTGGCGTGTGCTCAACTGGCATACTCAGCCCTCCGTAAGCAACCAGAACTAGGCAACCTAGCGTGCAGGGTGACTTGGTAAGAACTGTCCATAAGCCACAGAGAAGTACCGTCAGGTAACGATGCGGCCGCCAGGCGGCAGAGGCAGAATCAGAAAGACAGTGGCTGTCGGACGCTGCTTCGACCTCAGTAGCAGCTGTCGGCACGGGACGGCGTGGTACCAGCACCAATGCGCGGGGAAAAGCGCTGTTAAGCGGTGAGAAAGCGTCGATAGAACGCTCCTTATTAAGCACAAGGACCTGACCCATCTGAATGCGACTGTGAAGAGGGTGCCGCGGATCAGGGTCCCCAGCATCCCTAATAGCTGCAGTGATGCAATAGAAGGGCAAGGCATTGGCGGGGACACTCAAGGCCACAAGATTCCCCCCAACAGCACGCATGTCGACAACTGAAGGCTCATCAGTACCAGCGCAATGAACGGCAGCAAACTGGATAGCAGGTAAGCCGTCTAGCGGTGGCATGATTCTAGCAAAGTGCAGGGCACCAATTGCGTCGGGGTCATGTTGCGCATATGCCTGCAGGGCCGCGGTCCGAATCACCCGGTGGTCGGCAAAGGTGGGGACCTCGGCATGCACCAGGCCATTATTACTTATCACGACGGCATTACTGCCGGAGACCTCATGAAACGCAACCTCAGCAGAGTTGGTGCGGTCAAGGCTTGAGGCAAAACAATCCTCAAGTGTGGGGGGCCTAGGCAAGGAGTCCTGAACCATGGGCTGCATTGCGACATTGATGTGCTGTGCGGGCCAAACCTGGAAAGCGTCCCCATAGGGAAGGAGGGTGAGGTAAGCACTGGGCAGGAACCATCCCTGACTGCATCGACAGACAAGACCCCCGGTTAACGAGACAGCACGACCGGCAAGGGCCTGCAAGGCAATATCCCCGCAAGGCTGTGCCCTAATAGCATCACAGAGCATGACCGGCCCGCCCAATGGGCGAAGGTCTACTGGAATGTAACTCCTGTGCCACGGATGATGTCGGGGCGTAAGCACATACTGCTCGCTAGGAAAAGAAGGCAGGGCCTCAGCAAGTCGGCGACAGTTCCATTCACTGTCCTGCAAGCCGAAGGCGCGGCAGATCCAGGTACCTAGAAGGGGCCCAAATAATCTGACATCAGCGACAAGGACCTGAGGCAAAGGTAACTCGCCTGGCCGATACACACAGATATCACGGAGACAGGCGGGCCGAGTCAAAGCACTGGGGTCAAGCACAGGGGTATCAGGATGCTGAACCGGCGAGAGATCGTAGGCATCGTTAGTTTGAGCGACCCCATCGGTGTTGAACACAGGCTGTCCCTGAAGAGTGCCCTGTTGCCAGACCTGAACCCCAGCAGCGTGCTGGGAGAGGATCAGCCAGATCAGCATCGCACCTTTGCTTTTTCGCCGTGGAAGGCGGAAGTGTACCCCCGGGCGGCCCTGGCGAGGCGTAGTGCGTTGACAGGGCAGGGCCTTGCGGCAAAGCACACCAGTAAGTCCTATTACAATGCAGGCACCCAAAAAGCACCCCCATGGTAGGAGAATACCTCGCATGAGCGCATGAAGACAGGACACAAGGCCTCCGAAGGCGAACGCAATCAATGCAGCTCGATCTGGCCACCGTCCTACTCTGCATCCGGTGCGACAGCGGCGGCAGGACTCTCGAGGTTCAGCGTCGCCTGAGCCAACATGGGATGAGGCTGTTGCAGAATGGCTTGCATATGCGGCTCTGGAGAAGCCTGAGTCGGTATATACCCGGTAAAAGGGCCACCGCGCTCCAGCAACATACTGGGATATAACCATTCCTGCGCAGTAGAGGGGGCATAGCTGAACGGGTCCGAAATCCCGCTCAAGGACGTCTGAACCGCAACTAACAACCCCTGGGGAAGGTGAGGCAGGACAGCCGGGCATTGACGAAGCTGCACAAGCAACTCGTGCATCTGCTCCAACGTCGTATATGTGTCCGACTCCTCTCCGGATTCGACTAGCTGCTGTAGGCGTGTCCACATGGCCTGTGCCGCCTGCATAGTGGCCTCGACCATGTCTTCGGCATGCGGGAGGGGCAACACCGCTTCCTGCTCGGCATTGACAGCGAGCTCGCCGATGGGAGATCCGCCTTGCTCGATGGCAAAGCGAATTACATATAACCACCCCATAAACCAGGAAAGACCAGGCGAGGGCACGTCCCACGCAGAGGCTGGGATCAACTCGTCCTCGTTTTCCGCGTCGACCGTGGCCACTGGGCGTCTGCGGATGCCCTCCGGTGTGCGCCCGGTGGTACTGGATCTCCATGGCCCTTCGCCGACCAAGCAGACATCGCGCCTCGGGCTTTTGGATGGCCGTCCCTCGGAAGCTTTCGGCGGACGCTTCCATCTCCTGGGAGGCGTGGCCGTGGTAGATCCAGGGTGATGGGTAGCATCGGCGGCAACATACGTCTCGTCCGTCCGAGGCGGCATAGTCGAAGGATGTGAAACCTCGAGCCCGACTGCAGCTATTGGCTGAAGTGAGCTGCTCGCCGAAGTTGTAGTCGCCGTGCCGGTTGTTGCAGAAAGACGGGCTGCATACGCAGGGGAAGCAACCACAAAAGCTGCTGGTGCCGCAGGTAACCCGGCCGTAGGGGCAGCCACTGTGCCAACCGCACGAAGACCCGCGGCAAGTCGCAGGACCTCCATCTCCTGTGGCGCTGGCCAGATTGCCCCAAGTGCTCCCATTGCTTGGTTCACCTGGTCCGATGTAGACAAAGAGCTCTGAGCTTCGGCAGTGACTCGCATTTCCTGGCAGGCGGATGTCAAGTCCTCGTCCAACTTGGCTCCCAAGGCACGCACACGGTTCACGAGCCCTTGCAGGTGTTGCGACAGCTGAAGAAGCCATGCATTGAGCGCCTCCACCAGCTCCTCCTTTGCACGCATATCCCCGGATATGCGCTTGGACAAGGTGCGTACTGCGTTGGCCTTGCGTTGTGCCTGCTGCTCGGCAGACCCATCTCCGGAATCTCCTGTAGGGGCTCGCCGAAGGTCGCTGGTGGCTCGCGCTGTAATACCTTGAAGTGCCGTCATGACAGCCGGAGGAAGGCCAAATTCCACTGAGCTTTTTTGGCCTTCTGAGCTGCCCGGCTTCTTCCCCTTGCCATCTGGCTTTTTGGCTTGTGGTGCCATGCTCCCGTGGTGGGCGTTCAGGATGAAGACGTCGAGGGGCGTACCACGACCTGCACGGCACCGCTGGCGGGCTTTGTGTCGGAACCGTCTGCGACGACGGTGCCAAGGCGGACTCTTCCGCCGGGTAATTGTCCTGAGGGTCAGCGCCGACCCAAAGGAGGAAAATCCCAAAAAAGGCCAGGAGGAACACCACACAGTATGGCGATCCCCGTAGCATAAATAAGGCCTTACCCAGACGGCCGAAGCAGCGTGTGGGAAAAGGCAGGATCCAGTCCAGAAGGCCGAGGAAAAGACGGCACTTATAAGGAAATCCCGAGCTCCAGAAAGCCAGGGATAAACACTGGCCTATTTAAAGGCAGCAGTGAGCCAGTTCCAGACCAGCAGGGTGCGCGCAGCACCAGACCCCCGCAACGCAGAAGGTCGGCGCCTATGGCGAAGCCACAGGCTGGGGTTGCGAATACAATGAGGCCAGCCAAAACGCCTGAAGGCGAGCAGGCAGCCAACAGTGCTCGAGCCACAACGCCTACGAAGATACGCCCTAAATCCTAAACCCTATTCACACCCGAAGCCTTGAATCTTCCAACCTAATGGCATTTTCTCTCTGGACTGAAGCAGTGACTCCCTGGGCTTGAACCCTACATTTATATTATATTGATGGAGGGAACAACGAGACCCAGCACCGACCAGACGTAAATGTTGGGTTAAAGCCCTAAACCCTAAACCTCTTTGGGGTGTTGCTGGTCTCAGGCTAAGCCAACAATGAGGCATCCAGGGAAGACGTGGCCTCACCGGAATGAACGCATGTCGCAGTCCTTGAACTCTGAACCCTCATGAGCCTGCCTTAGGGGTTTAGGGGTTTTAGGGAGTTAGGGGTTTAGGGTTAGAGGAAACTACAGAGTGGGAGTTTAGGGTATATAGGGCTTCTAGAAGGCTTCTACAAGGTATACAGACCTTCTATCAGGCTCCTACAATGGTAACTACTCACCTGAAAATGTCCTAGACTTACATAAGCCCGCCAAAACAACCAAACGTGAAGGACTGAACCGGACTGAATGCTTTGACTCAGGTTTTGGGCTTTTGCGTCGACCCAAAACCCTAAACCCTAAACCCAAAGCCCAAAGCCCAAAACCCTAATAAACCCTAAACCCAAAACACTAGACCCTAAACCCAAAACCCTAAACCCTATACTGCTATACTAGACCTCAACCCTCAGCTCCGAAGAATAACTTCCCTGCCGGAGCAACCGTCATCTCCGGTGGGGTAGCCGGGAACAGTGAGATGCCCAGTGACATCGGCGATTCCTGCCAAGCCGGCTTAGTAAGTAGAATGCGATGCAGGAACACCTAAGGGATACTGTTGACGATAGAAATCCTGCATTACCTTAAAGGACCCGAAACTATGGGAATTACGGTATACCCCTTCTTATGGGTACTGCAGGATATATATCGTGAACCGCAGTACTGGCAGTGCTTCCGGCCTCAACATTAGAGGGGATCGTGATTGGCTGCACATGGCTTTACCACGACATGGGCAGTCCCTCTACGGTAACCAAGAAAGGGCCCTCAACCTTAGACCCTACACACCCCAGAAGGGGCCCTCAACCCTAAACCCCAGAAAGGGCCCTCAACCCTCAACCCTCAACCCCCCAGAAAGGGACCTAAACCCTCAACTCTAAACTGCCAAAGGGCCCTCAACCGAAAAGGCCCTAAAACCCTAAACTAAACCCTAAACCCCCAGAAAGGGCCCTAAACCCTAAACTTCCAGAAAGGGCCCAAGCCCTAAACGCCCCCAAAATGGCCCTGGGCCGACCCTGCATTTTCCACTCGGAACAGGGAGTTCGGTGCTCATACTACTGTTGGTGATATAAATCCTGCATTACCTTAAGGACCCTAAACTATGGGAAATATGGTATATTCCTTATAATGGGTAATGCAGGATTTATATCGTCAACCGTAGGACTTATGGATTGATGATGGGGATCGTAGGGGCCTTATTACTTTCAAGAGGGTTTTGGCTCATGTAAGGGCCTTAATACTTTCAATAGGGTTTTGGGGTACAGTGTTCATGTAGGGGCCTTAATACTTTCAAGAGGGTTTTTGGGGTACGTTACAGTAGAATTACAATAAGGAACCCTGAAGAATAATGTTGGTAGTTCTTTGGGCTTCTACAGGAGGGTTTTCAGGGCTTAGGATAGGGCCTCCCCGTGACCCTCAGCGCTCTCCGATGAATGAGCGGTCCGAGTATGACCAAAATCAAGACCTTGTTGTATTTTGCCTACTTGAGGTTCATGGATAAGTCGCGTTATAAGCCCCCTAATTTGGGTTATGACTATAGTTACCCTACTTAGAACCCCACTTATAACTACCCATGAACCTCCAAGTATGAGACCCGTGAAAGAAAGCACTAAGCCTCACCTGAGGTGAGATGAAGTCCATCACATACCACTTGCTCTCCAATCGCCGTACGTACTCCTCGAACCACCTGCGCCGTTGAGGGAAATCCAGGGGTCGGAATCTTGCTCCTGTAGTTTCCTTAGCTGTTGAGTTCATAAGCCCAAAAAAGTGTACACTTTCAGTTTTATAGGGGGGGGGTGGTTACCCCAAAAAGTTTAAAGTGTAGTCATTCAGCTGCTAAGTTTCTAGCGGGTAAGGACAGGCGCCATGTTGCCTCTGAAACTAAGGGCCGTTCAGGAGAAAACCCTGAACCCTAAAAACTCCTTTTTTCTCCAGAACGACCTCCGAAACCGCGACAACCTATGGCGGGCCTGGCGAAGCCATCGCCTTTCTTGGCATCCGAGGGCACCGCGGCCTGTAGCCGAAAAGAGCTACCTTTCTAGGGTTTCACTTTAGGGTTTCTATATATACATAGGTCGATTGGGCCGCAGATAGAAGCCCAATAGAACCCCCAGCGTTGAGGGTTTTGGGGTTTTTGGAAGTCTTGTCCAGGGTCGTCTTTGTCCGAAACCCTTTTATTCGTAACCCTCGTCGCCTATTGGCTTCCTGAACCAGATTCCAACATAAACCCTAAACCGAAAAACCCTAGACCCCAAACCCTAAACCCCTAACCCCTAAACCCTGAACTTCACTCCAACACCTTCAAGAAAAAGGTCCGAAGAACCCCAAACCCTACACCAATAAACCCTAAACCCTCCACCCCAGCACCTTCATGAAAAAGGTCACCCCTAAACCCCTGAACCTGAACTCCAGGCATGGTTTGTGAGTGTTGTAGGGAGGCATGCTCTGCAGAGGGTAAGCTGTCGCTGCCACGAGGGCTTCTTTTTCTTTTGGTCATGTAGGAACCTGACCTGATTAAGAAGCCCTGGCCCTATAAGCCCGAAATATGAGGATCCATTTCAAGTGCTCTTTAGGATCCGTTCTCCAAGAGCTCTAACCAGGATCCATTTTAAAAGTCCTATAACGTTAGGACCCATTGAAAGAATATTAGGATCCACTTTAAGTGCTTAACCCCCCCAAAAAAAATATCAGGTCCCTAAACCCCTAAACCCTAAACCCCTACACCCTGAACCCTAAATCCATAAATCCCTAAACCCCTACACCCCAAACCCTAAATCAAAAAACCCTAAACCCTATAACCAGCAATAGCCGGGTGAATCAACCTTGGAGCCCTTCTGGCGTGGAGCTCGCCGGTTTAGGGATGAGAGTCTAGGACTTAGGGTTCATATCGGGTGTAGGGTTTAGGGTTTAAGGTTTATATAGGGTTTAGGGTTTGGGGTTTATAAAAGGGTTTAGGGTTTAGAGTCTAGGGTTTAGCGTTTATCTAGGGTTTAGGGTTTAGGGTTTAGTATCGAAGCAGCGGAAGTGAAGGCAACATACGTGTGCAAGTTCCTAGACGTCTCTCCGGTCTCAGCTTCCGCGACCCTCCCTGAACCTTGCAAACCCTATGGGTAGTTCTCTAAATTACGATGCCCCATCAAGAGATGAACTCCACAATGCAGTGCGCACAAGAGCATGGATCGAAATCCAAAGGCGTGCAAATTTACAAAACTGGTCGACTGCGAGAAAGCGGACCAGGGCTAGGCGGCCGTTAACCATATATGCAGTGCGTCTCGGCGCTGTGCGTTGCGAACACGCGCCGTGTGCTTGCGTGACAAAGCAGGCACCGCACGCAGCGACGAATGCGCCAGTACCATTGCCCTGCGATGCCATACGTGGTCCTCGAACACCAGCTTAGGGGCTGAGTACCCTAGCCCCAAAAAGGTTAACCTTTCAATTATGGTAGGATTATATAAGCCCAAAAAGGTTAAAGGTTACCTACTCAGCAACTAAGCCAGTGCAGGCCACTGTAGGCGATGCTCTGCGAAGCTTGAGGGCGATGCCTCGAGCTCTGGTTCCTGAGGAAGAACCTCTATCTCCAAGGGCGGTGCAATGCGATAGGGTCCCGTTCTATGTCCCATATATAGTACGGCACCCAAAAAGGAACTTAAAGGGGACCCTAATTTAGAGAACTACCCCTATGAGAGTTTGCTTCAGGTTGCGGACTCGATCCTTTTTTGCCCTTTTGGTTTCGGGTTTTCGGGGATTTACAGCCTGAGCCCTACGAGCATATTCCGAGCCCCCGCTGAAACCGGAATCAAGAGCCCTAAAACCCCAATTCAAGGCCTACGAAACCCGGCAAAAGCCACACACAATACATAAACAGAAGCCCTAAAGCCTCAAGCCACAGCCTTATGAATCCCCGCAAAACTCTTGATATGAAGCTCTAAATCCTACAACCCTCAAATCCAGACCCCTACAGAACCAAAAACTAAAACCCTGAAGCCCAAAACACCAACAGCAATCCCGAATCCGAAGCACCCTTATCGAGTTACTTGTCGCAGCCCTTGTCCCCAAGCCCTAGAAACCCGGTGAACCCTCCGCCCCTGAACCCCACACCCTCAAACTGCCAACCAGAATAACCTAAACCCTACACCCCCAAACTCTAAAACCTCAAACTTTGCGTTCCGTAGCTCCCCGAAAACCCCGTCACTCTGATAGTAGCCTACCCTAAAGCTCCCTCCCCCGGCATCAACATACTGTAGGGGCCTAAATAA